TCATGTCCAAATATATCTCACAGTTTTTGGTGTTGTACAAATAACCATGTAGGCCCTCATATTTCTGCATAATAACTTGACAGTGTTTGAAGACAGTTATGATGATCATTGTGAACGATGCTATTATCAGTTCTTCACACACATATGACATGGTACTGTTGGCTTCTCTTCATCATAATGGTGGAGGTCAATGTTCTAAAGGGTCTCTTACCAGCAAGTCAGCTGTATGTGTGCATTTCCATCTCCTATCTTCACTTCAGTTTAGTTTTGTCTTTACTTCAAGTTTACATTTTTGTCATTTAGCAGACGCTCTTACCCAGAACAACTTACAGTAGTGAGTGCATCCATTTTTCATACTGGTCCTCTGTGAGAATCGAACCCAATACCCATTGTAATACATGTTGTACTATATGCTGATTGAAGGTAGTTATCATGTGGTGGAGGAGGGATGAATACTCGTATGCACGCACACACACATTCCTCTAGTCTTTTTTTTCTCGAAACACAAATTAGGAGAAGTGAAGAGCACTACAAACACACATACATACATATACACACACTCCTCTTGAGACATATAACATCTCAGCATGCATTTAGAGAAAGAGGGAGCTCTTGTCTGGAGAGAATGCGAGAGATGGAGAGAGGGAGGATGCGAGAGGGAGAGAGAGAGAGATGGAGTAGTTGCGGTTGTTGTAGCTGATTATTTGCTGTTTATGCGAGGGGCCTGCGTGAGACAATCACCCCAAGTGCCCTCCAATCAGAGCCTGAGTACAGTCGCAAGGGGTGGGGGCTGGGGCGAGACCTAACGAACCCTCTACCCTCCTACCCTCTCTCTCCTCTTCTCTTCTCTCCTCTCCTCTGTCCACGCCCTCTCTTCCCTCCACTACTCTCTCCCTCTTCAGTACACTTTATTCCATTCCATTGTGCCACTGAGCCCAAGGGCAAAGCCTTCACCTCCTCTCACCTCCTTACTCTACCACTCGCTCTCTACCCTTTCTGCTTAAGGGGATTCAGGCAGCAGGGTTAAAGAGTAGTTCTCACTGAAACTTAAAACAGTGTGAAAGAGAGAGCGAAAGAGAGAGAGAATATTACAATAAAAGAGAGAAAGATAACTGATGAGAGAGAAAGAAAAAGACAATGAAGGGGCTAATGAGAGATATATGGAACGATAGAGCATGTCATTTGTCCTCTTCTGATTGGGGTCATCGGTGTGATCTGTGACAACACTGTGTCACCTCTGACCTTCAGCCCAGCCTCTACGACCGGGAGTTTTACGACCCGACTGTGTTCGCTTCCAACCGTGCATCTCCGACTGTGCAACGGTGTGCGTTGACGGCGAGACACGGTCCACCGGTCGCCCCTCGCTGTCCCTCTCGCTCTCCTCCTTGTTCTTAATGGTAAACTAACAGATTGTAAACATGCTGCTAGCACTTCTCTCCCTCTCTCTCTCTCTACCCCCTCCTTCCCTCACGCCATCTCTCTTTTTTCTCCGGGGGTATTTTTTAAACAATGTCCTTCATGTTAGAGTGGTTACAGGCAGCAGAAGGACATCATTAGCGCCGTGGTTAAACTGTAATTTACACCATTAGAGAGGCAGGAGCCATTTTTATTGCCTAGTAAATTTCAGCTCTGAAATATTTAGACCATATGGCTCAATTTGTGTAATAACCTTAATTTCTGCACTCTTCAGGTCCTGGTGGCTGCTGGGGCTGGCTGGCTGGCGGTGGAGCGCGGAGCGTACAGACACACACAAACACACCCGCGTGCGTATGTACACAAACACACACACGCGCTCACACGAACACACACACACGCTCAGCACACACATACACACTCACTCAACACACACACACACATAAACGCACATACACAGTGCTAGGTGGTAGCGGTAGCGGCATCAGATTAATGCGGTGTCAGGTTGTGTTTGGGTGAAGGCGTGCGAGCAGCAGCCAGATGGCTGATGACTGTCAGGGGTCCTGATCTGATCAATCGCATGTATTAATACATCTCCCTTCACCAGGGGCCCCAGGGGCCCTACACACAACATCTGGAGAGATGGAGGGCGGGAGGAGGGAGGGAGGAGGGAGGAAAGAGAAGGAGGAGAGGGGTATAGTGTACGAATGTATGTATAATTATATGTGCCTTCACCAGGGGCCCAAGGGCCACAAAACAATATCTGGAGTGAGAGAGGGAGAGGAGGAGGGAGGACAGGAGAGAGGGATGGGGGAAAGAAAAGAGGAGGGAAGGGACAGGGGGAAGAAGGGGAGAGAGGGATGAGTGTGTGAAAAAATGAAGTGGAGAGAGAGAAGACAGAGGGAGAGAGAATGGTGAGAAAAAGAGGGAGAGCATGTGGGAGGATAGAGAAAATAGAGAAAGATGCAAAGATCCTGTAGGCTGGACCTGGAATGGGAAGTGAGGAGTGAATAGGTGTTAGGTTAGCATCTCTAGATTGGTTTGTAGTGTGTGTGTGTGTGCACCAGCGGTGTGCTAGGTGGGCGCAAGGTTCCGGCAGGGCGGACCGCCTGCTTTCCATACCCTCATTCCGTCCGATCGCCATGACGACCCCATTAATCACCCACACTGGCACGGAGAGGAGCTCCCAGCCCAGCCAGAGATCAAAACACACACACACACACACACAGGCTTATTGCATATCTCTGTGGTGTTGCTCTCCCTCTCAGTAGTGGACATTAGTGAGGAGAACATCAACCCATCTGCTCTGAAGCCTGTCAGACTAGAGATGAGAAAACTTCACCAGACTACACATTAGATACACTGTTGACTTCCTGCCAAATTCTCACCCATAAACCTAAGAACACCACCAACCAGTTTTTCCACATGAAAACAGACTTGCACTGTTTTTAGACAAAAACATTAATGTTTAACTAATGGCTTGGTGGAGTTCTTTTTGCTATTTGGGAGAGAGGGGGAGAGAGGGGGAGAGAGGAGGAGAGAGGAGGAGAGAGATGGAAAGAGAAAATGGTTAGAGAGAGAAGAAAAGAGAAGAGAAGAAGAGAAGAGAAGAGAAGATAACAATGAGAAAGAATAGTGAGTCGAGAATCAACTTGTGTTTAGTCAACAGTTGTCTACGGTAACATCAATAGACAGCAGAGTGAGGGCCAAGTACGGACTCCACAGAGAATCAGGTGTGATAGCATAGGCCAGGGGTAAACAGCTACGGTCCCAAACCCTGTCCCAGGCCCCCAGCCAACAGACCCTACACCCCTGTCTGCAGCCACACACACACACACACACACACACACACACACACACACACACACACACACACACACACCAGTGGGACAGAGGTGGTTCCATGAACTGCAATTGTGTGATGAGTGACCTTGCCTAAAACCTGAAGGCTTGTCTTATCTGTTCTTGGCACTAATGCCTTGGCATTAACTCAGAGGATTAACGCTGGCCGTTTCCAAAATCTGTCTTGCCTATTACTTACTAACACTATATATCATACTACATACTATTTAGAACAAACTGATTAGTAAAAATGTATGCAGTAAGCAACAAATATCAATATACTCGACTCACCCATACTGACAATGCGTTATCTAATGCGCACGCACGCACACACACATACACACACACACACACACATACACACACACACACACACACACACATACACACACACACACACATACAAACACACACACACACACATACAAACACACTGCTCCATATCAATGAGGAGGTGAAAGGTCTGTATTTACATGCTGTATTAATTATGACTGACAACACAAAGGTCAGAGGCAACTAAAGCTCTATATAACTCTCCCTTTTTCATTGTTCTCTCTGTCTTTCTCTCTCTCTCTCTCTTTCTCTCTCTCTCTCTCTCTATGCCCTTCTCTCTCTCTCTCTCTCTCTCTCTCCCCCCCCCCTCTCCTCTCTCTGCCCCTCTCTCTCTCCTCTCTCTCTCTCCTCCCCCCCCCCCCTCTCCATCTCTCTCTGCCCCCTCTCTCCTCTCTCTCTCTTGCCCCCCCCTCTCTCTCTCTTTTTCCCATCTCTCTCCTCTCTCTCTCTCTGCCCCCCCCCCTCTCCTCTCTCTCCCCCCCCCCCTCTCTCTCTCTTTGCCCCTCTCTCTCTCTCTCTCAATTTATATCTCTCACACACTCACAAACACAGAAACATCCTGTAATTGTCTGTGTCACTCTAAGGCCACAACCCCAATGTTGTTCAAGCCAACAATGAATACTTTGTGGTCAGCATTGAATAGCCTATAGATGTCAGTAAAAATCAATTGTCATCAAACAAATATGTGTCTGATCAATCAATGACGATGGCATTCAGGTGAAACTGATCATATATACAGACACATATGGCAGCACAAAGACACACTGAACACACACAACACTGTTCTCTATTACATTTTAGTCATTTAGCAGACGCTCTTATCCAGAGCGACATACAGTTAGTGAGTGCATAATTTTTTTTTCATACTGGTCCCCCGTGGGAATCGAACCCACAACCCTGCCGTTGCAAGCGCCATGCTCTACCAACTGAGCTACACGGGACTATTCAAGGGGCAGCAGTTTGACTTTGGCTTTTGAAAAAGCTCAATCAGCTTTTAACATCATTCTACAGAATCTGTACGTTTTGAAGCTGTTCTGAATTCTTCTAAAACAAAATACATGATATTTTCCAATACTAAACACACTGAAAACCATGTCATTACTACCTTGGAAGAAAATTCCATGGAGCAAGTCAAGACGTACAACTATCTGGAAGTTTGGGTGGGTGAGAAGCTGAGCTTCACTAATCATGTTGAGAACCTGCTAAAGAAAATAAAGTTGAGAATATGTTTTTATTACCGCTATTAGGCTTGTTTTTCTTTGGAGGCCAGAAAACTACAGTGATGTAATTTTTATGCAGACCTCAAGAACTACCCTGAAGGCACTTGATTACGTGTATCATGCAGCTCAGGTTTATTACCAACAAAAATCATCTGACACATCACTGTGGTCTCTATCGTGCTGTTGGCTGGTCTTCACATCACTGTGATCTCTATCGTGCTGTTGGCTGGTCTTCACATCACTGTGATCTCTATCGTGCTGTTGGCTGGTCTTCACATCACTGTGATCTCTATAGCGCTGTTGGCTGGTCTTCACATCACTGTGATCTCTATCGTGCTGTTGGCTGGTCTTCACATCACTGTGATCTCTATAGCGCTGTTGGCTGGTCTTCACATCACTGTGATCTCTATCGTGCTGTTGGCTGGTCTTCACATCACTGTGATCTTTATCGCGCTGTTGGCTGGTCTTCACATCACTGTGATCTCTATCGTGCTGTTGGCTGGTCTTCACACCACTGTGATCTCTATCGTGCTGTTGGCTGGTCTTCACATCACTGTGATCTCTATCGTGCTGTTGGCTGGTCATCGTTGACTCTACGTAGGCTTAAACATCAGTATACTATGATGTAAAAGGCAATTTTGTGAAAACTGCCATTTTATCTCTTTTCTTATTTGATAAGGTCAGAAAATAAATACCAGTTACAGTCCCGCTCATACTTACTTTTAACAGTTCCTAAAATCAGAACGGATCATGGCAAAAAGTGTTTTAACTACTCAGCTCCATGGTCTTGGAATTCTCTCCAGACCGGCTTGAAACTCCAGGATCTTGTTTCCTTGGAGGAGTTTAAAAGTTTGGTTGACTCACATGTTACTGAGGAATGTGATTATCATTAGGACTTGATGCTGTGGTACATATGATTGATTTCTTATCTATGACGCTTGTATGTGTCTGTAATTGAAATGTATGTGTGTCTACGTATATATTTTTTAAAATGTTGTATATGTCTGTAAGTTGTTACAGTATGTCTGATATTTGTCTCAAACATTGTTCCCCCACTGCTGCTGTCTTGGTAGGACCAGGTCTCTGTTGAAAAATATATGTTATCTCAATGAGACTAACCTGGATAAATAAAGGTTAAAAACACACACACAGAGCTTTAAGCGGTGGCATGGCGTGCTGAGGGGATCGTATCACAGAGAGGTAGCTAGCATTGGCAAGGCGTTCTACTGATGTCAGGCTGTTTACTGAGTTGCCAGGTTACATTTAGACTGGCTGACAGGCAGCAGGGGAGGACCTGTGTGTGTGTGTGTGTGTGTGTGTGTGTGTGTGTGTGTGTGTGTGTGTGTGTGTGTGTGTGTGTGTGTGTGTGTGTTTGTGTAGTCTTACCGGTACAGTCAGAGCAGTAACAGTTGAGGAGTATGTGGTCTGTGTGGTGTTTTCTGCAGCCAGGTCACCCGTGATACAAGTCAGCATTCGATGTCCATCCATGTCTGAGGACATCGGGAGATAAAGTGGAAACCGGCCACAAGTGGCAACAGTGAGCACTTTTACCTTCAAGTAGGTATCGTTTTTGCTAGGGCGTTGTGGACGGGATGGCAGATTTGTACGTTTGAATCTAGCGATAGAAAGTTGTTTATGAGATTTTTTTTACGCCTATCCCAAACCTTAACCCTTACCTTAACCATTCAGAGTTAATGCCTAACCTTAAGATGTTGGAGTTAATTCCTGAACTTAACCCTAACCTTCAAAATTCTGAGTTAATGCCTAAACTTAACCTTAAACACTTCGGAATTTGACGTTTGGAACAACCTCGAAATATGAGGAACATGGATGAACATCTAATTCTGACATGAGACTGTGAGAGCTGGTAGGTTTTCTGGACACCAGTCGATACTGTGAGATCAGTCCATTGGGTTGGCCAGGCTGTGTCCATTTTAACAGTATTGAGTATGCACCTGATAACAGGTATTACACATACATTGAGAATAGCATAGGATGTCAAGCGCATATCACGTTTTCTTCCATCCCTCTCTTTCATCTCTCACTCACTGGTAGGTAAGAAAGTAGAAGGAGCCATGACCTCTGGACCCACCTCCATTGTGACAGAGCCCCGGGAGTTGTGGGCGTGTATCCCTGTACTTGTATTGCCTGAAGGGCTGGAGGGCGTCACTGGCGTCAATGAACTCTAGCGGCCCATTGGACCAGATGAACACCAGCAGCTACTCTGCATCCCCATTGGTCACCTGGCAGGAAACAGGAAGACGAAGTGAGTTAGGGAAATTAACCCTGAGATTCATCTCAAAGAGAGAGAGAGAACATTGAGAGAGGGAGGGAAAGAGAGCGAGAGAGAAGGGAGAGGAGAAGGAGATAAGGATGGTAGTCTCTAATCGTGCCAGCTGCATCAGAACTGTGCATGTGTGTATGTGTGTGTGTGTGTGTGTGTGTGTGTGTGTGTGTATGTGTGTGTGTGTGTGTGTGTGTATGTGTGTATGTGTGTATGTGTGTGTGTGTGTGTGTATGTGTGTGTGTACGCATGTCTTGGCTCACATGGTGCCCCTAAACTACCACACACAGCCAGACTTGATGACATACAACAAACAACCCCCCTCCCATCCCTCCACCCCTTTGCTTCGTCGATAGCTGATGCAAGCCCTCTCAGATCTATAGCAAGCCCCCATTATATGTGAGAGTCAGACATCATCACATTTGGTTGTGTTTGTTCACACACACACTTGTCAGAGTCCAAACCCAACCAGACATGATCTGAATACTTTTTCAGATCCTAACTTTAAATGTTTACACGTAACTCCAATTCTGGAGCAAATATCCCATTGACATTTGTGTCTGGATTACTAAAGTCGGACTTCCTTGTGTGGATGTGAAGTTAGGATTCTTCCCTCAGCCTGTATGCTAATGATGTTTCCACAGGACTTATCAGGGCTTAGATACTCTCTGACCCTGCATACAGATACCTCTAGTCAACAACACATACTTGACCTTGACCACAAACAAACACACAGGTAACTGCCAAAATAAAGGAAACACCAACATAACGTTTCTTAATAGGGCGTTGGGCCACCACAAGCTGCCAGAACAGCTTCAATGCACCTTGGCATAGATTCTGGAATTGTTATTACCTGTGTATACATGTTTATTACCTGTGTATGAATGATTATTGACTGTGTATGAATGGTTATTACCTGTGTATGAATGGGTATTACCTGTGTATGAATGGTTATTACCTGTGTATTAATAGTTAATGACTGTGTATGAATGGTTATTACCTGTGTATGAATGATTATTGACTGTGTATGAATGGTTATTACATGTGTATGAATAGGTATTACCTGTGTATGAATGGTTATTACCTGTGTATTAATAGTTAATGACTGTGTATGAGTGGTTATTACCTGTGTATGAATGGTTATTACCTGTGTATAAAGTATGACGTGATGAGTCTGTTGGGCTTGTTGGGGGGTATTTGTATTTGAATGTACTGTAGCTAGCTAGCAAGTTAACTCACAGATCAAAGACATACGAAAATCTGCATCACCCCTTCTAGACACAGAACTGAAGACTAGATTGTGGTAAATATTGAGATTTGGCTTATTAGGTGGTTCATGATTAGAAAGGCTCTAGAGGAAAAAAGACAGTTTGGGCGATGGGGGACTAATAAATTGGGCTCTGCTGGTTCCGTTTTATTGACCAATCAGTGCTCTCTGATTTATCCTGCTTTTGACCACAGATGCTGGATTTACTACGGCACTGTGGGTAATTTAGTAGGAGCTGAACATGGTCAGAGGGATAGTGCATCACAGAGATACTGGGATGGATGAGTTCAGAGAGTCAATGAACAGTCAGGACCAAGAGATGGCTGTCTGTCTGCAGAGAGGTGGGAAGAGATGTGGGAGGTCAGGGCTGGACGTATCACCTCTCACCCTCTGTGCATGTCTGTGTGTGTGTGTGTGTGTGTGTGTGTGTGTGTGTGTGAGTGAGTGAGTGAGTGAGTGAGTGAGTGAGTGAGTGAGTGAGTGAGTGAGTGAGTGAGTGAGTGAGTGAAGAGTGAGTGAGTGAAGAGTGAGTGAGTGAGTGAGTGAGTGAGTGAGTGAGTGAGTGAGTGAGTGAGAGAGAGAGAGAGAGAGAGAGAGAGAGAGAGAGAGAGAGAGAGAGAGAGAGAGAGAGAGAGAGAGAGAGAGAGAGAGAGAGAGAGTTTGGCTGTGGATGTTTTGTTGTGAGGGTTTGGCTGTGGGTGTGTGTATGCAGGCTTTGGCTATGATTGTCTGCCTGAAGTAATCCATCTCTAAATATTATCTTCTCATTATGTGTGTTTACTATGAGAGGGGCCTGATATGGGGGAAATCACACAGACACATCCATAGGCAGGCTATTCTAGCGTCATTACAGGTTGATTCTAAAAGAGGGGAAGTATTGCCTGGTCTCTCACGCTTGGTTAAGCTGCTGGACCCAGGGCTTGGAGTGTGTGTGTGTCTGTGTGTGTGAATATGTGCGTGTGTTCAAGCATATGTGTGTGCGTGTGCTAGTGTTTGTGTGTTAATGTGTGTGCGTTAATGTGTGTGTTAATGTGTGTGTGACAGATCGCTACTGAAGGGTCTCTCCTGGCTGCTGCAGCTGCCATTAGTCCTGATTAGGCTCTGTGTGGAGTTGAAAGTAGGAAAGTGTAAAGCTGCTGATTAGTTGTAAATAATAGAACTTAAGAATAGCTCCCCATTGAACCTCTGTGGCAGCCAGGCAGAGATCAAAGTAGGGCGTAATACAGGCTGGGTGTGTGTGTGTGCATGTATTTGTGTGTGTGTGTGTGTGTGCATCTCGGTAGAAGGCTACATCTGCTGAGGGAGAAAGCTATGAGGAAAGGTGAATAATTTAAATTTTTCATTTGTTAAGATAATCAGGCCATTCTCAATACATCCTGGAACTCATGAATGTTGAATGACCTATCAGCCTACAGTTGGCGTGAATTATGGAAAGGCACCTCTGATGGGAAAATTAACATAGCGTGTGTGTGTGTGTGTGTGTTTGTGTGTGTGTGGAGGCAGAGGCTAGTGAGTTAGAGAAAGGAGACAGAGATCACAAGCAGCCTTATTGAGAGGTTGGGCGGGTCACATTTATTTTGTCATAGAAAAGTCACATACATTATAGCCTATATGAGCCTACAGGGCCTTTGCCACCACACTCTTAGAAAACAGGGTTTCAAAACGGTTATTCGGCTGTCCCCATAGAAGAACCCTTTTTGGTTCCAGATAGAACTCTTTTGGTTTCCATGTAGAATGCTCTGGGGAAAGGGTTCTACATGGAAACCAAATAAAGTTTTACTTTGAACCAAAAAGGGTTCTTCAAAGGGTTCTCCTATGGGGACAGTTGAAGAACCCTTTCAGGTTCTAGATAGCACCTTTTTTTTCTAAGAGTGTACCCATTGGTGGACCACTGCATTAGGGCAGTCTTTCCCACATAGGGAAAACCTGACTCCAGTCCAGATAATACATGCTTTAGCCAACTCCTGACAATTGCTGTCATATATGTTTGAAATGACAATGAACCAACATGGCAGTGAGTTGGCTGAAGCACATACATGTCTGGACAACCAGATAAGGGGTTGGGAGTAGGGGGTAGACAGAGAGGGGTGTAGCCACAGACCTGGGGGTGTCCAGGAGACGAAGAGAGAGAGAGCGGAGACTGGACAGTACGTTATGAGGGGGCGGGACTCCCAGAGGGGAGGAGACCGGTGTCTGGATGATGTACCTGTCAGATGAGATAAGGAGAGGAGGGGAGAGATAGTCAATAGTGTGTTACATGGTGGGCAGACACACAGACACAGACACTGTCACAGACATAGACAGAGAAGAGGTGAAACATTATACTGTATATAATAAATTCATCATGATGTTTATATAAAGCAGCTTCCCTATTCCGGGTATTTAAATTAAGGGTATTTAATACTTTTTTCTTAGCGTGATCATTGAAGGAGCCATTTACAGCAGTACAACAAGCAGTGACCCCTTAGAGGACTATAAACCAGCTGACCCCTCATAGCCCCACCATAAATACTGCGCTAATATCCTCTACATATTAATATGAGTGTGTGTGTGTGTATGCATGCGCCTGTGAGTGTGATAATGTGACCGCACTTAAAGAAAGCCTCCAAAGCCTCTCTCTCTCTCTCGCTCACACACACACACACACACACACACAAATAAATGACATCAGAAGACAGATTTGCCTTTTTAAAGGCAGAGGGCCGCGGGTGTTAAGGCCTACATTAGCTGTGTAAGTGGGACACATTTAACATTAAAAGCCTTTAATTCTCTATAAAGTCCACACACACACATTAATAGCTGTACATTAACTATTGTTCCAGCGCAGGCCGCTTTAAACAGGCCCATTACCAGTTATGCAGAGGGTTAGACCAGCACACTGAAACACATTAAAACCACTGATTTGTCACTCTGTCACATGTTTCATATAGATACTGCGATTATATCACACAGAGAAAGGGGGGAAGAAGGGGGGGAGGGGGAAAGGGGGGGGGGGGGGGGGGTGGGGGGGGGGGGGGGGAAAAAGGGGGAAAAGGGGGGAGGGGGGGAGGCGATAGAGAGAAAGGGAAGAGAAAGAAAGAGACAGAGAGGTTTGTAGTAGAGAGGTTTATAGTTAGGAAAAATGCAAACAGACGGAATTAATAATGTAAAAAAAAGTCGGGGATATCAAGGAAAGTGTTATAATTTGGTTTGTGGTGTGTTCCCAGGGGGGAACGGGGGAAGGGTTTAAACCCCGTCATCACAAAAACCCTTTTTCTCTGGGGGAGGGAATGACAGCATCCACATTTTATAAAACAATGACCATGGAGCGACCCTTTTACACACACACACCCCACCAACACACCCACTCTAGGATAATAGGGCCGGCTCTTTTTAAATTCCCCGTGATGCTAAATTGGGTGAAGAAAAAGAGAGGAGATTGGGGCCAAAAATTAAAAAAAATTTTTTTTATAAAACCCCCCAAAAATTTTTAATGCGACTTAAAAAATTTTTTTTTTCCAAAACCCCCCCCGAAAAAAAACAGCCCAAATCAAGGTTCCCCAAACAAAACCCTTAAAAACCCTTTTTTGTTTGCACTTTTTTCTTTAAAAAATTAAAAATTTCTTTTAAAATCACCAACCCTTCCCTTTTTTTTTTTTCCCCCCCCCCCCCCCCCTTTTCCCCTTTTCCCCCTTCCCCCTCCTTTTTCCCCTTTCCCCCTTTCCCCCCTTTTTTTTTTTTTTTTTTTTCCCCCCCCCCCCAAAAAAAGAAAAGGGGGGGGGCCGGGGGAGTAAAAAGGGGGGAAAAGGGGAAAAGGGGAAAAAGGGAAAAAAAGAAAAAGGGGGTTTCAAAGAAAGGGGAAAAAAGGGGGGTTTTAGGGGGGAAAATTGGGGGATGAAACCCCAGATAAAATTTTCCTGGGGAAAAGGGAAATAAATTGTTTTTCAGCCAAGGGAATTTAAACCCCACCACAACACCACCATTTTAGGAAATACCATGTTTTTTTTTTCCCCGGGCAATTTTTAAAAAAAAAAACCCAATTGGAAAACCCCCAAAGTTTTTTTTTTCCCCCCCCCCCCCCCCCTTTTTTTTCCCCCCCTTTTTTTTTGGGGGGGGGGGGGGGCCCCCCCCCCCTTTTTTTTTTTTAGGGGGGTTTTTCCCCCCCCCCTGGGTTGAAAGGGTTTTTTAAATAAAATTTTGAAATTTTTTGGGGTTTTGGGTTTTTTTACATGCCCCCAACATTTCCCCCCTTGGCTTTTTTTTTTTTTCATTTTTTAAAATTTAATTTTTTTTTTTATTTTTTTTTAATTTAATAAAAAATTTACCAAATTTGGGTGAAGGGGAAATGAAGAAAAATAACTTGTTTCAAAAATTTCTAAAAAATAAATAACGGAAAAGTGGTGCGTGCATATGTATTCACCCCATTTGATATGAAGCCCCTAAATAAGATCTGGTGCAACCAATTACCTTCAGAAGTCACATAATTAGTTAAATAAAGTCCACCTGTGTGCAATCTAAATGTCACATGATCTCAGTATATATACACCTGTTCTGAAAGGCCCCAGAGTCTGCACCACTAAGCAAGGGGCACCACCAAGCAAGCGGCACCATGAAGACCAAGGAGCTCTCCAAACAGGTCAGGGACAAAGTTGTGGAGAAGTACAGATCAGGGTTGGGTTATAAAAAAATATCAGAAACTTTGAACATCCCACAGAGCACCATTAAATCCATTCTTAAATCATGGAAAGAATATGGCACCACAACAAACCTGCCAAGAGAGGGCCGCCCACCAAAACTCACAGACCAGGCAAGGAGGGCATTAATCAGAGAGGTAACAAAGAGACCAAAGATAACCCTGAAGGAGCTGCAAAGCTCCACAGCAGAGATTGGAGTATCTGTCCATAGGACCACTTTAAGTCATACACTCCACAGAGCTGGGCTTTACAGAAGAGTGGCCAGAAAAAAAGCCATTGCTTAAAGAAAAAAATAAGCAAACACGTTTGGTGTTCGCCAAAAGGCATGTGGGAGACTCACCAAACATATGGAAGAAGGTACTCTGGTCAGATGAGACTAAAATTTAGGTTTTTGGCCATCAAGGAAAACGCTATGTCTGGCGCAAACCCAACACCTCTTAACACCCAGAGAACACCATCCCCACAGTGAAGCATGGTGGTGACAGCATCATGCTGTGGGGATGTTTTTCATCGGCAGGGACTGGGAAAGTGGTCAGAATTGAAGGAATGATGGATGGCGCTAAATACAGAGAAATTCTTTAGGGAAACCTGTTTCAGTCTTCCAGAGATTTGAGACTGGGACGGAGGTTCACCTTCCAGCAGGACAATGACCCTAAGCATACTGTTAAAGCAACACTCGAGTGGTTTAAGGGGAAACATTTAAATGTCTTGGAATGGCCTAGTCAAAGCCCAGACCTCAATCCAATTGAGAATCTGTAGTATGACTTAAAGATTGCTGTACTCCAGCGGAACTCATCCAACTTGAAGGAGCTGGAGCAGTTTTGCCTTGAAGAATGGGCAAAAATCCCAGTGGCTAGATGTGCCAAGCTTATAGAGACATACCCCAAGAGACTTGCAGCTGTAATTGCTGCAAAAGGTGGCTCTACAAAGTATTGACTTTGGAGGGGGGGGGGGGGATAGTTATGCAAGCTCAAGTTTTCAGTTTTTTTGTATTTTTTCTTGTTTGTTTCACCCCAAAACATATTTTGCATCATCAAAGTGGTAGGCATGTTGTGTATATCGAATGATACAAACCCCAAAAAAATCAATTTTAACTCTAGGTTGTAAGGCAACAAAATAGGAAAAATGCCAAGGGGGTGAATACTTTCGCAAGCCACTGTAAGAGCTCTTAGATAGGACACAATAACTTATACATTGAGAGCAACGTGACAATTAGTGTCAATTCAATCCAATCCAATTAAATGTAATTAAATTAAATTCAAATCAACTCAGGGCTCAGATTGATCTCTGAGTCCATAAAGAAACTAAGAATGATCCAAGGCCTAGATGTACCGGTATATTTCATGTCAAAGTGTCTTTAACCTGTTCCCTCTTGGGAACCACATGCAATCTCAGTAAAACTAACCTAGGTTAATAAAGCTTAAATAAAAATAAATGAATAAATCAAAATGGGAGAGTGTGTGCGAACAAACCGATCATCGGATTGAATCTGATGGTTTACCATGTGTTTGATCATGCGTGTGTCATCTGTCATACGCCAGTCAAATATGAAGTCATTAAATGACACAAACACAGAGGTGATTCCTCAGAGAGAGAGAGAGAGAGAGAGAACGAGAGCGAGAGAGACCAGAACCAGTGAAGAACAAACACCATTGTAAATACAACCCATATATATGTTTATTTATTTATTTTATTTTTTTAACTATTTGCACGTTGTTACAAAACTGTATATAGACATAATGTGACATTTGAAATGTCTTTATTTTTTGGAACTTTTGTGAGTGTAATGTTTACAGTTCATTATTTCCTCCACTTTTGTTTATTATCTATATCACTTGCTTTGGCAATGTAAACATATGTCTCCCATGCCAATAAAGCCCCTTAAATTGAAAATTGAGAGAGAGAGAGAGAGAAGAGAGAGAGAGAGAGAGAGAGAGAGAGAGAGAGAGAGAGAGAGGAGAGAGAGAGATGAAATCTAGAGCCGCTTTAAGAGCAGAGAGAGAGCTTAAGAGGAGAGAGAGAGCTTATATCTCTCTATCTCTCCTTTCTCGCCTCTCTCTCACTAACTCGCTCTCTCGCTTTCATCTCGCTCTTCTCTCTCCACCTCTCTCTCTCTCCCGCCGCTCTCTCCTCTCCCCTAACTCTCTGCCACTCCCTCGCTCGCTGCGGCTTCTCCTCTCGCGCGCTCTCTCGCTTCCTGAGATCGCCAGCGCCCGAGCGCGCGCGCGCGCGTAGCCCTTCCAACCCCTCTAAATAAAGAAAAATGGAACATCTAATGTGTGTGTGTGTATGTATGCCTGTGTGTACTTGCTGGAGCGTCTTGCAGAGTGCGTCCTGTAGATGGCTGACTAGCTCCACAGCCCACTGAGGTACAGGCCACCAACACAAAGCTGTAGTCAGAGTGGGGCCACAGAGCTGAAAAACACACCCACACCCACACGGACACACGCAAGCATGCACACACAGTTACAAACAGATTTACATGCATACACACATACAAAGACACACACTTACTTGAGAGAAAGAGAGAGGGAGAGAGTGATAGAGAGAAAGAGTGATAGAAAGAGAGTGACAGACAGATGGGATAGAGAGAGAGAGAAAGAGAGAGAGAAAGAGAGCAACAGAAAGAAGAGCTGTAAAGAGAGCGAGAGATCGCCCCGTATACATGGTCCTATAATCTGGGCAGCATACCATCTCCATCTGAGTGAAGAAGGATCCATAGCGCTCCATGTTAAATTATGCATGCCATAACTCAATAATGAAGCAACATAAAGATGAGCAGTGACACGGGATAGGAGCCGCACTGTAATGGCATCAGCTTTTGATCTATTATAATTATAATACCTCTGTATGCATTAACGTTATAGCACTGTCCCAATGATTTATTTATGTACACGCTGTACATCCCGTCTGTCTGCCTGCCTGTCTGTCTGTCAGTGATGTATATTCAATTTGATATACTCTATAGACCTCCTTCCCCTGTTTAAAAGGGTCAGGGGCAAACATGTTAAAATTCACCACAAATAAAATGCACAATTTAAATAGAATTACTTATAATATTGAATGTGATCGTGTAAAGTTGCTGCCTTTAGAATGACAATCGTCAACATAAATATGATGCCGATATATCATCATGTTTAGATTTGAAATTGAAGTAATTATTTTACAGTATATATAAAATAACCATACATTTACCAAATCAACAATGAACAAATATTATATACAATCATGACTTGATAAAGTGACAAAATGATTGCATAAAAGTAGAGAAAATCTATGATACTGCAAATACGTATCAATACCAATGACTGCATTAGTGATGCTGTTTACTTTATACCCCATGCAACAGTTTCAGCAGTATTTTAGAGATAAGCATTTCTATTGTTTTCTTTGTTTCTTTGTTTCTTTCTCGTTTTTACCACTCTTATAAAAAACACATGTTTATATTGTATCATATTGTTTACTGTTATATTGCAGTTAACAGGGGCCACTGAAACTGATCAAATCATAAAATATAGTTCAAACTCAGAGAGAGGAAGAGACATAGTAACAATGTCCCTACAGGGCCAGGCAGTGTGGTGTGTAGCAGCATATATGTGCCTGCCTGCCAGCGATGCTGTTTAAACGTCAGCGGACAACTCTGCCACGCTTCTGTCCATCGACCAAGCTAGTTAACATGCTGCACAGCCCTCCCTACTTAACCCAACCCCAGATCAATGTTCCCACAATGTTCTGCTGGGTTTGGGTTAAGTAAAGAACTCTGTCAAGCATGCTCAACGCTGGGGACGGCATCTGACCAGCAACGTTAAGGCTTCACTACACAATGTAACCAAGCAGTGTGTGCGTCAGAGTGTGTATTCTAGCATCGTTAACAACCGTAATGTGATATAATTTGTTGCAATGTTGAGCAATTCACTGCTGGACCATGTGCCCATGTATCACCAGTACTAAGTGACGGTAGAATACATATAAAGAATGTTACCCTCTACCACATAATTCATAAATATTGTTTATAAATCTGAAATCGCATTTGTCACGTTTAATTTCGTGATTAACATGAGGAAAAAATAAAACGTCCAAAGTAAATAAACAAGCCGTGGTAAATGTATAAATCTTCTAAATCAGAAGCAAATCAGTGTAATGTTTCATATCGCCACGGCTATATATTTATCACAGTTCAGTTTTCCTCCCAAAGCAGGACTCAATAAATGACTGTTGAACACCTTTCATTCTGTTGTTTTTAATTATAAATACTTAATCATTTCAGCGCGTGCCTCCCGTCCCAGTCCAACACACACATTCCCACACACTCTCTCCCAGTGGGATCCACGCTCTCCTAAAAATAGTTCCACACAACACCTCAAGGGGACACTGTTGCGCTGCTGAAAAGATGTCCGACGTCCCCTCCAAAATAAATAAATAAATAACTGAAGTAACATAAAGGGAGAAAACTTCAACTTGAACAGTCAGCCAGCCAGTGGGCATGCAGACAGGCAGGCAGACGGGCGGGCAGGCAGGCAGGCAGACAGGCAGGCAGGCAGGCAGGCAGACGGGCAGGCAAGCAGGCAGACAGGCAGGCGAGCAGACAGGCGGGCAGGCAGACAGGCAGGCAGACAGGCGAGCAGACAGGCGGGCAGGCAGACAGGCAGACAGGCAGACGGGCAGGCAGGCAGGCAGGCAGGCAGGCAGGCAGGCAGGCAGGCAGGCGGGCAGACAGGCAGGCAGGCAGGCAGACAGGCAGGCAGACGGGCAGGCAAGCAGGCAGACAGGCAGGCAGACGGGCAGGCAGGCAGCCCGGAGAGTCCTGACCAGCCCATTTGCAGCGCAGCTCTAACACAAAGTGAAAAAATGCCGTAACTGTCACCCAAATAGTAGTGTCCAGGAGAGGGGAGGTGTGAGGTAATAAACCATGTAGAAAGGCCTTTTATTGACAAGCTGCCATTCCCTGTTTGCATTAGACAATATGAGAGCATGATGACTGCATTGTAGGCCCCCAAGCCCCTTACCTCAGATACCTGAGAGAGAGAGCGAGAGCGAGAGCGAGAGAGAGAGAGAGAGAGAGAGAGAGAGAGAGAGAGAGAGAGAGAGAGAAAGAGAGAAAGAGAAAGAGAGAGAAAGGCCTGCATTTTCCAGCAGCATTGATAACACCTCTAAATAATTAAGAGTTCACTTCCTGTCAGCGGCTCCTTAATGCCATGTCATTCTGTCTGTCTGTTTGTCTGTCTGTGTGTCTGTCTGTCTGTCTGGAGGATTATGGGAGGACCCTTGATGCAATTTACCAGATCAGGTGTACACACACAAACATACACACGTACATACGCGCACACACGACACACGGCCTCTCTCCCACCCCTCTGCCCTGCCCCCACTCACATAATCAGGGATAAGAAAGGGGAGGAGGGGAAGGGAGCAAACAGGGGGATTGGGAGAGGGAATTTGGGGGTCTTACCCCTGAGTGCCCCCGATTCCCCTTTTCCTCTCTCTCTCTCTCTCTCTCTCTCTCTCTCTCTCTCTCTCTCTCTCTCTCTCTCTCTCTCTCTCTCTCTCTCTCTCTCTCTCTCTCTCTCTCGCTCTCTTTCTTTTTCTCTCTCTCTCTCTCCCCTCTCTGTTAAATCTGTCATGGCAGGATTTAGCATCATTCAGTCTTCTTCTGTGACCTGGTCAAATACAAAGGCTTCCTGTACCAAGGTTGCAGTGGGAAAAATCACAAAGAAAGAGGAGCAACTGCCGTTTTGTATGTATGTCACTCCAATGCCAGCATAAAGGCAATATTATGCATCATTTTCAAGCCCTAAGACATAAGATATTTATTTCTAACACCATATTTTGCCTTGATGTAAATATGTGTCCTCCGAAACACAACCCAACTGAGCCGCACTGCTTCTTGACACAAAGCCCGCTTAACCCGGAAGCCATCCCTGACGGCCAAACATCCCTGCCGGCCAAACCCTCCCCTAACCTGGACGACGCTGGGACAATTGTGCGGCGCCCCATTGGTCTCCCGGTCCCGGCCGGCTGCGACAGAGCCTGGACTCGAACCAGGATCTATAGTGGAACAGCTAGCAATGCGATGCAGTGCCTCAGACCAATGCGCCACTCGGGAGGCATGTATTCTACGTTCTATCCTTTAAACTGTGGCTATAAAATTACACACGTGTGAGTTGTTCCTGATCAATATGTCTCTTCCTCTTCTCCAGGGTTAGAGTGCATTTCATGAATCTCAATTCAAGACTTGAAATATCCTCATAGGAACTAAATATTCAGTATAATGTCAATATTGTCATCTAGGATAAATAGCAAGCGAAAGAGTGCGGGCGGAGCATTCAGAGAAGGAAGCATAAATACAAGAGCATGTTCCCTACTGTAATGAATTAATAATGCTCTTACAAATGGCCAATTAAATGCATGATTAATAATATAATCTATATAATTGTGAGCAATAACTCATACACGGTAATGATAGCAATGCTTATCATCGATTCACACAGGATCTGACACTGTTTTTCTTCTCTCTCAATTCAACAGTGATATTTTCTAAACTGTACATTAAAAGCGGCTGATCCTGTGTGAATCGATGATTCTCATAGAGGCGAAAATAAAATGCTTATCAAATTGTTAAACAACATTTCATTGTATTATTATGTTTCATGTATATGGGTGGCCAATTATCATGTGAGATGTCTTTATTTTAACTGCACATATTCTTTCTACAAAGAGAATAGATTATTTTAAAGTGAGATGGAGTATGTTCACATGAAGAGTGATATATTTTAAGCCAGATCTGAGGGATGTGTGCTAACATTGGGAAAGGGAAAATGAATGATGTCATATTAAACATTAAACACGCGAAGCAGGCCAATTATTTCCGCTCATATTTCATGTAAAACGTTTTTTCATCCATCTACCTCTCCCTTCTTCCTCTCACTCTTTTTCTCTCCTTCTCCTCCGTAATACCCCTGGGGTGTGGGGTGTCACTTGAAAACTATTACTAATAATGGCGGTAATATATTTCGTTATTATTCATTACAATAACAAGGGACACGGGGACCGAGTCTTCGTCATTCACGCACGGTCAGTGTGTGTGTGTGTGTGTGAGAGTTTTCTATATGAAATGGAAAGGTACGTTTTGTTCATGTCACATATTGGGAAATTATTTGAGAAGCAAAATAGAGAGAGAGAGAGAAATAGGAAAGAACATAAATAAACACAGAGTGAAAGAAAGAGAATGAAGTCAAAGAAAGAGGAGGAAAAGAGAGGTAGACAGTTAAAAAGATAGAAAGAGATGTAGACAGAACGCCTTCCAGAGAGAGAGAGAGAGAGAGAGCGAGAGAGAGGGACAGGGTTTCCCGGGCGCTTGCTGAGGAACAGGGGCATCTCACAGAGGTTGAACGCCTCTCCACCACCGAGCTCAACGCTGGCATGCCACGCCACGCCACCGCCAAACACACACACACACACACACACTGCCAAATCCGCCGGCATATACACACACTCTGGCATACCAGGATAGCACCGCACCGGGACTGCCTGGCATAAGCGGCTCGCCAACCCTTAAACACACACAGCACCTACATTCTCAATGCCAGCACACACAGACAAACACACACTGTAGACAAGCCCAATGGGCTTGCTATTGCCAGCTTTGCCAAATCCCCACACAAACACACGCAGGGAACAGCTCTGGCATTGGTCTTTTCCCGGCACTCCGAGCATCCCATGTGGAGCGTCACTGGGAAAACGAGGAAATATTTCCAGACCGCAGACCATTCCAGAAGAGAGGCCAGAACTCCAGGAACTCCTGTCTGCTCTCAGGATTAACCAGGAAAACCAGTGAGCTTCCAAACGGCTACTCTTCCCTTATATCCCAAACCACTCCTGTTTCCTACCCAAACCACTTCCCTACTCCTCTCCTCTATCCCATATACACTCTTAGAAAAAAGGTGCTATCTAGAACCGAAAAGGGTTCAGCTGTCCCCATAGGAGAACCCTTTGAAGAACCCTGTTGG